TGGCAGTGGATGAAGTGATCCTTAGCGCTTGCCGTAGATTCGTGCCTAGGCTGATGACCGTCCTGAGCTTTCCCAAGGTAAGCAGTGAGCACAAGAATGCATTGTGAGGGTAGGAGAGTTTGTGGGAACATTTTGGCTATAAGGGGTGTAACAATACGCACATTTCATGTGACAGCATGCACGATATTGTGTGTGTTTTTCTAACATACACATGTACATGGTTGCTACACAAGTTACAAAGAAATACCAGACCTTATTTTGCTTCTTTTTGCTCAAAGTCTAGTTGTCAAAGACTACACACAGAGTATAAATGTTTTAGGTGCAGTACAGCAGAGTTTTTCTTTTATTTTTGCAGTTTGCTTTTCTAGCGATATCATGGAATGCGTAACACCCTTAATATGCATATCATAACACCCTTACTGTCTGTATCTCCAGATCTGTGAAATTGTTTGTGATTTGCAGTAGATTTTGGCTTGGATAGCTTTTTTTGTCTGGATATCATTGTTACTTGCATGAAATACTGTCTGGATTTTACTGCAATCTACAATACCTGAACTCTGGGTGTTGTTTCGTATATGCGCTTGCGAAAATGTGTTCTACATACCATTGTATGTTAGATCTAATATAAAGCTGTTATTTTAGTCAGTGAACATTTTCTTTTTGTTGTTTTTTGTAGTTTTCCATGATTTTTGCAGTAGTTTGGCAAAAAAAAGAATTTCTGCAAGCAAAACTGCATGCCTAAATCATCTCTCACTTGTATTAATCTCAAACAGACTTGCACATGTAGTTACTGACACTATATGACATAGCTGACAAGTAATGGAAACTTACACCCCATCATTTAGTGTCAGGCAAACCCAAAGCATCAAAAGTGTTTCATAGCTAAAAACAGCAATTGCAGAAATCTCAAAACATGAATTTTTATCTGTCCTGTTGTTTAATTTTTGTATTGATAGTAGATATATTATAGATGCATGGTCAAACATTAGGTTTCAGTATGGCTGAATGTACTGTTTTAGCTATGCAACCTACGTTTTGATCGTTTGGGCATGCAGTGCTAATTAGTGGGGTGTAAGCTTCCATTACAAGTTTTCATTAGCCTCGTAGTTCCAATGCAAAACTAAATTAGGCTGAGCTATTTCTTTATGGCACATTTTACCCCCTTTCAGTTCTGTATTAAAGTGTGCTATGTATTTCCAAATGCATCAAGACACTCCTTCTAATTAGTGATTTCAGCTGCTTTAAAGTGCACCCATTGCTGATACTGTATAATCTCTATAGAAAAGAATTGCTAATAGAATGAGATGCTCTGGAGCAGCCACATATGAGCCTAAATTCACCATGTCCAATGTCAAGCATCAGCTAGGAGAGTATAAAGCCCCCCACCATTGTGCTGTGGAGCAGTGGAACTGTGTTCTCTGGACTGAAGGAGCTCCATCCAATACCTTTGGGATGCACTGCAGTGATCTGGAACTAATCATCCAACGTCAGTACCTGACCTCACTAACTCTCTCGAGGCTGCATCAAATCCTCGTAGCAATGTTCCAACAGTATTAAGCCTTTCCAGGAGAGTAGAGGCTGTTACTGCAGCAAAGTGGACAAACTCCCTTTTAATACCCTTGATTTCAGATGCACCGTTAGCTAAGCAGGTGTCTAAAAACTTTTGGACATTTACTGTATCAGTTTATTCCGGTTAACTAATGTGTATTAATGGATCCATATTATGCAGTGTAAACCAGTAGTGATGATCTGTGTTAGTAGGCCTAGTTAGGCCTAGTCACCATTATCAGGTGCTTGGTTAAAATGGCTTGATATTGGATGATATGCCACACACACACGTGCAAAGATTGGGCTGTGCATAGTGGAAAATTCATCCCTCCATTCTGCACTGTTTGGCTCTCAGCTTCCTGTCCCCTGAGAGAAGCCTGGGTCTTGGAAAGCACATCAGCTGGACATTTTCCCATTTTGTGGGGGCCCATCTGATGAGGTGATATGGCTGCAGTACTTTCACTCTGACCAGCTACACTTACTGAATGATTGGGAGAGGGGACGTTAAAGGTTAGACGTTAAAAAATTCCCTGAATTTCATTTAATTGTAAGTAACCCACCAAAACAAGTCCATTTCAAGGAAGTCCCATTCTGTAAATTCTGTAATCTTTCATAATTTTTTCTAATATAGAGTACTGTGCAAAAGTCAGATCACCTTTTATTTATGTAATTTCCTGTCAAAACATTAGCATTGGGGAAAAAGGCATAAAACATATGTTTAATGGAAAATACACGGAAGTCTCAACAATTAAATATAATATAACCTTTTTCAGTATTTAGTGTGTCCACTATTCCGTTCTTTTTAGAAGACTTGCTTTTTAGTTTTTCAGAGGAATCTGTAGGGATATTTTTTTTATTAAATTAAATGAAGTGTGCCTTTTGTACAGTACTGTATGTGATGTGCATTCTCCTTTTTTATTGTTGTAACTAGAGCTGGGCGATATGGCCAAAAATGTTATCACGATAAACAAAACTTATATTGTTCAATATCAATACATACCGCGATAAATGTCAAATCATTATTTCTTTCAAGTTTGAAGGCTGATTTTTGCTCCTGGGTGGTTAACTGCTGTTTTAAACTATCCTTTATGGTTGGAACACGACAAACACTCGCCAAACAGCGGAACATTTCACAGATGTATCATGGGAGAGTGGGAGAAAGTGTCTGGCTGGAAAAGCATGGCTATTTTTGTAATAGTCATAATTTAAGAAAGAAAACAGATTATTTTTAGCTGGTGACGAGCGCTCGGCTACCCCGCTACAAATGACATCACAGTATTCAGACACCAGCCAGCAACGACTGGATTTCTCTATACTATCGTAGTAGTTTAAGTGGTGATCTACAGTATCATTAATCCTCCGTGTCGTGCGAGTGACAAAGCGCTGCTTCAAGTTAGCCAGCTGCTAAAAACAGCTAGCCTGGACAGATAGCGCTCTCCCGCTCTCCAGCTCTCCAATGCCTCACAGCTTCCTCAGTTTACTTTCGTTTAAATCAGGGCTGTAAATTACATGAACCCACTTCTTTCTTTCACTTTCGTTGCTTTGGAATGCAATTTAAATATGACTGTCCGAGCGCTGCAACAGCGCTTTAGTTGTGAGGATTGTGATTTAACGCTGCTAAAGCTGGTTAGGTGTTAGAGGTGAGTTCGCTGTAGGACAGTATCGTTACACCACTGACCTTGTCACTCACACTCGGTCACAGGAGAACAGATCGCCGGTCGCTCCACTCAAACAGGGAATGTATAACTCCGCGTTTCAGCCGTTGCTAAAGACTCATCTTATTCGTGGCCCCCTCCCTCTCTAATCATGTAGAAAAACTCGGAAGTGCGCCATCTCCTGGCGACAGCACAGAAGTGTCGCTTTCCTTGCTGTAGAAAACGCCACCAAGGCTTTCGCTGAACGTGGAGGTGTGAGAATGGTGCATTATATCGAACATTTATCGAACATGTCATATCGTTCTATCGAGGAAAAGTTATTTCGCGATAATTATCGTTATCGTTTTATTGCCCAGCCCTAGTTGTAACTCTAACTTTGTATTTCTAGATAGCTGGTACATTTCATACATAAGAATGCAGCCGAAAATGCTTCACATTGTATGTACATAAAACAAAAAGAAGTATATGGCAAGAAAGAACTGTTAAACAGGCAAAAACATATGGATTTATTAACTGTAAAACTGTTGCTGTCCTGTTTACAGTTTCAGTCTGCACCCTGGCTGTTTTTTTGCATTGCAGTTGTAAAACCTTATCCAGACCCCTGGCTCTGTTTGGGGTGGGAGTTGGGGGTTTACTTGTAGTGAGCTGAGAGTTTGAGCTGAACAGAGGCTGAACTGTGTCTGAGTCTGCACTCTGGAGGGATATCTGATTTCCTTCTGTCTCCTTTGTTGCTGCTGAATAAAGGGGAAGGCTCAGGCCGGGATGTGGCCTCTTTGCCATTTTATCCTGCCCAGGTTTCCATAGTCTTTTGTTTGAGATGATGACAGGAATACTAGTGCTAGTATAATAATGCCTCGGAGAGCAGTAACTGTGCTGAGGTCATGAATCTGCCAGTGTTTGATTTTACATGAGGGCCACATTAGAGGCTCTTTGTTCTTTTCTCGCCATTAAACTTAAGGGGTTTGACAGTGTAGGTACAGAAATACCTGTCAGGGGAGACTTCATTTTCATTTTGTGAACTCTTGGTAGAAACTAACAGGTCTGACTAGTTCTGATTTGGCAAGTAGCCTGAATGACAAGTCTCAGCACCCTCTCACAGTGCCAAAAGTGTTGCCTGTCAGACAGTGTTTAGAGTGATATTCACTCTACCATTTAATGATGGTCTTTGTGCTATAGTGCTTTTGGGACACTGACCTTTGAACGTTCATGAGGCCTCTGTTGCAGTTTTCATCTTTAGAAGGAGAGGCTGGTGTTAAAGAAATAGTTCAGTGAAATATCAAATTTGTCCCAAATGTGGTCAGTCAGTCAGTCAGTCAGTCAAGACATTTGGTATCTGAGGTTTGTTTCTTTAGTTTTGCATTGGAGCTGTATGGCTATTGTGTAATAAAAATGCCATAACTTATGCACAAGCCACATTTATGTTGGATTTTCTAATATGATAAATTCCACAAATAAACACACACACACACACACACACATCACTAAACCGCTTATCCTTCTGGGTCGCGGTGGCAAATAAACAGTAATTGTGTATTTAAAAAGTGTGTTCTGAGGATGTGTTAACTTAAACTTTTGCATATGACTGTGTCATGCATACCTCATTCTTATTAGCTGCTTTATAAATGTTGTCAATTTTTTTTTTTTTTTTGCTACATTGCATGATTAGCTACATTAGCCGGTAGCTCAAGTACAGAACTGGTATTTTGAAGTACTTTAGCCTGTGTTATTTTTATACTCTTGCTACAACCGTCAGTGTGCTGCTAACATACTAATCTGAATTCTTTCTCTTTTTCAAAGCCAGAGAATGAGAACCCCACCACAGCAGTGTATGCTAATGTCACTGACCTGAAGAAGACCACACGCTCAGCTCCTTCTTCCTCCTCCACCTGCTCCTCTCCCGGCCTCTCCCTCAGTCCAGCTCCAGACTCGGCACTGTCCCCTGACCCAGTCGGCTGGGAGGTGCACACTGACCAGGACAGTGGCAAGGCCTTCTACTATCATCCTGCAACGCAGCAGAGTAGCTGGGCAGACCCACGGAGCCCCACTCCGGCCGCAGGCATGGAGGCCTCAGCCACAGCCCTGCCTGCCCCCTCCTCCACCTCTCCGGCCCTCCCACGGAGCTCTGACTGGGAGCAGCTACTGGATGAGACTACTGGCAGGCACTACTACTACAACCACACACTCAAGCAGACCACATGGGTAGCGCCAGAGCCTCAGGCGGATGGACCAGTAAGACACTCCAGCTGCAGTGGGGTTGTGGGTAGATACCAGAGATCTCCAGTAATACACTAATGCCTTTCAGTGGTCAAGAAGTCAGACAAGGTGTTAGTCAGCACCGAACAGTAAATTTCATCGAACTTTGATCGAACACTAAGGAAAACATAAGCTTTTTTTTCTACCTTTTGTTTTCTCATTAAATAGTTTTACAACAGGTTTAAAACTTGACAGCACAAAAAGCAGGTCTGTTTATTTGGACAAAATCGCTATCATTTCAGTCATCACAATTTCATTTTACTGCTGGATCAGAGTATCCTCCAAACACTGTTAGTATAGTGCATGAGTTGTTCTGCAACCACACCACCAAGATCATAATGTTTTAGTAAATTATTATTTTTTTAACATAGTCTAGAACAGTATAGAAGGTGGGAGTGTGCAGTTTTGACACTTTCTCTTTGAAGGGTACACCTCCATCACAAGTGGAAAAACATGAGCTAGCATATGACATGACTCTAGCACAGCAGAAGTGGACTGAAACAGAGATAAAAATGGATAGTAATGTTTTGTTCAGGGTGATTTTGAAAGTGAGTATTTGGGTAATTGTTTGGAATTATCAACAAGTATTTGAAGCCTGTAAAATACTAGTAAGTAAAGTTGTCATCAGACAGCAAAGTGCTGTTTAGCTAAAACTATTTAAGTATTTTCAGTATATAAAATGAATATGTAAAATCAGCTGATATGGCAATTTTATTCAATATCAGAATTTTTAGCTCTTTAAAATCCGTATTCAATCAGACAAAATTTTCTTATCAGTCAGGCCCTGTTAGACAGGCAAGTGGCAAGAAAAGTCAACTCTCTCTATTTGTCATCCTCCCACTCTCTTTCCAGCCTCCTTTACCTGAGGAGGACTACCCTACAGAAGATCATGGGCCTCAGAATGCCCCACACGCCTTCAAGGATGCGCTCGTGCCACAGGGTAAACTGCCAGTTTTGCCCCGGGTCACCCTGGACCCAGGGACCCCCATACCCACTGGCTGGACCTGCTCCACAGAACCTGGTGGAAAAACTGTATTTACCAACGAGCACACACACCAGCAGGTAAAAATGTTCATCTATAAACTACAAACTTAAAAAAGATGGTTCTTCAGGGGTTCTGTAGTAAGGGCAACAGTTCTATATAGAATCACGAGTTCTATATGGAACCATTCCATGCTTGAATGGTTTTGCATGGTGAAATCGTTCTTCAGACTGATGGAGCATGTGTTGTATATGGTTCTGTATAGAACCTTTTTGAAAATGGTTCTATATAGCACCATAAAGGGTTCTGCTATTGTTACAATGTCAAGCTTGTAACAGTAGAAGATCCCTTTTTGGTATTATATACAAGTATTTTCAAAAAGGTTCTGTATAGAACCATATACAACACACTTTCCTTCAGTCTGAAGAACTATTTTACCATTCAAAGAATACTTTAATCATGAAATGGTTGTATGTAGAGCTCATGGTTCTAAATAGAACCATTGTCTTTACTAAAGAACCCCTGAGGAAGCATTTTTTATGTGTATAAACATACACTAACAAGGAAACGGTGTAATCACCTTTCAAAACGAACAGGTTGAGTAAGACTTCAAATATGCTCAAAATGACAGTTGACCTGTTTCTGAGGAGCACCAGGCACAATGACCTCTGACAAACACTCAGAGCTTTACATTGAATGTAAGGCTGCCTACTTGCTTGGATCACTATTGCTGAGGCCTCTCACTTTTAAACTATGATTGTTATAGCCTTTAGCCTGTATCTTTATCCTTTAGGTGCTATCAGGCTACCAAGCTATCTCAATGTTATATACTTTCTTACTGGATACCTTTTTGTGTGCCCCTTCCTAAAATTTTGGATGTATAGACGCAGAGATTACTAATAAATGTCCTCCACCCTGCCGTTGAATACTTTTATAGTTGCCTGGCTCAAAAGCTTGTAACCAAGGGGGCTGGGCCTACTGAAGTTTGCAGTCATATCATTAATATCATATATCATCTAGTCATGACTTTCTCAATACAGTCATGATTTTTTTATTTCCTTTTATAACATTCTGTTTGAGGTAAATTATCTGAACTGTTTATTTGAACATTTAGTATGGATTTATGCTGCCTGTCAAGCATATGCCATTAAAATCATCAACATCCCCAACTTAAAACACCTTCTCGCATTCCTGTTCATGTTTGTGTGATATCCATGAACATTCTCTGTAATTTTAACATGCTGGCTCAAAAGTCAGTCAACACTTGTGAGCATTCTAAACCTTTTGAATGGCACCATCTGTTGGTCGTTTTTGGTATTACTATCAGAACTGATGGCACAATGTTTTGCCATATTGAATACTTTAATTTTGTCTGTCTCTTGCTTTCTTCTACAGTGGATCCAATCAAAGGATGACAAAGGCAAGACATATTACTACTTAAAAGATGGCTCTAAATCTCAGTGGACCCTTCCAGAGGTGTGTGTGCATGCTCAATAGGAAATTCATGCTTATAATTCAACTATAATTCAAATGGAAATATGTATTTTTCACTTTCTAAGTTACATTTTATAGTTAGACATAGACACTTAATAGTTATCAATCTAATTAGTCTGTTACGTCAGAGATTTGTTTCACTTCAGTGAATTTTCTTTGAGCCTGTTATGAACTATAACCTTCCATAAAGTCCATAAACTCTATGCGAAATCTGACTGAAGGCTGCAGCACCATCCGGACCTCCACCGCTGGGGAATGGCTTGGAGCCAGACGCTCAACCTATCCTGAAAAACTGGAGACACACCATGGGCCAGATCAACACATCACATGAGGACACGGTGAGCAAGCAACCTCCAGAGTATCCAGGACTGACTAGACCTACAGTACTGTGCAAAAGTCAGAGACCTTCTTTCATGTTTTCAGTATTACATTTTGTCTTCGTTACGGCTTCCGTTCTTTTTGGGAGACTTGCTTTCAGTTTTTTCAAAGAGATCTGCAGGGATATTTTTCCACACCTTCCACGTTCAGTCTTAGAAGTTGCATTTTTCTGCTTCTCATGATATAAGTAATGCCAAACACATCAGTGATGGTCTGGGCTCTGGGGTGGCCAGTCAATTGTTCTGAGAAACCAGCAGCTTTGTTTGATTTGCAAAATTTCCTTGTCTCAGTAAGGGCTTCTTGACAGCTACACATCCTTTCAGACCCATAGCGTTGAGTTGTCTTCTTACAGTTGAAGGATGGACAGAAACACCTGTGGATTTTTTTTTTCAGATGTGAAGCAGGAGTGGAGCTTGATTTTCTCATCTCTCAGTGATGAAAGCTTTAAGTACTGTTTATCTGATGGGTATAGTTTTGGTGGTCTGCCATGCATGGTTTTTAAGGGTCCCATTTTCTCTATATCTTTTTCAGTTTTGGAAACTACATTTTTCACATACTTCTTCTTTTTGCAAGTGAATTGTTTTGTATCTAATCTCTTCAGAAAAATCTTCTGAAAAATTAATAACTTGTACTTATTGGCCGTTTTGACTGGAAATTAAATCAATGAAGGGCAGTCTCTAACATTTGCACTGTATTAGATATCAGTCACCAAGAGCAGTAACAATAGTAAGCTAACATGAGCTGCAGCAGACAGTAGAAATCGAAGCATTATTTTACCACAAAATTATTACTAGAATGAGTGAATGTTAAATGGCACCAGTTAGCACAATATTTTATGCACATTAATGCTAAGTGCCCCCTAGCATTTATTAATAATTAATAAGGAACTTTGAAGTTCCTTTCATAACAATTTACTTGTTATTATTTCCTTATAAACTCGTATCTCTTTGCTTTGTAACATTTATCACATTCTCTTCAGATATGACGTATGCTTTAGCAGATTTATTGAAGATCCGCACAGATCGTTAAGTGCTATAGAGATCACAGGATATGCACAAACTCTTAGACAGTCCATTACTTAGTGAGTAACAGTGACTCATAGGCTGAAGGAAACTTCTGACCTGATTAAGCCCTGAGGCATCTCCATCAGCTCATTTCTCTACCCTTCCACTTTCCTTACAGCAGAAGTTTTTCCCAAGCCACCGGAGGATTGCTTCAGATTATGCTAGTGATACATCAAGCACAGGAAATTCACCGGAGATTCATCATCAGGCAAGTAGCAGCATCTTTCCTCCACTCATTGGCTATCGCATGATGCAAATTCATCAACCTTTTAAACTAATTTCATCACCATCATTATTTATTTCTTTCCACAGTAATGTTCAATACTACCATAAGAACCATTCCCTTACTTCTACTTCTGATGTTGTAATTCCTACTTTTTGTTGCACAAACTCAGTGAACTTTTTTGGGATTCTAAGAGTGTCCCAACACTGTTCTGTTTTCCCTGAAAGGAGGACAAGTTGAGACAGAGGAGGAACCTATCCAGCACAGACCCACACCATCACCATCATGTGCGTGCAGGTCCACGAGCCTGAGCATAGAATTAGAATGAATAGAATGGTCCTAGTTCTAATTCTATGGGCCTAATTGTCTAGATGTTCACAGTGTCCTAAGGGTTTATGGGAAACTGAGCTTTTGCTCAGATTAACAGTACTAACACAAGTCATGGACTGTCTCATATACTTGTAATTAACCCCTGGTAACAATACACTTATAAGTAACCATGGTAACAATGGTGGAATAGCTAAAAATACTTCCCAATTGAGCCTTTCAGGACTGGAAGCTATTCTCTTGGAAATATGATAGATTAGAACTCAAAACAGTTCTTCTTGAACGGAAAAGATGGCATCAAATGAAACCATTTGAAACCGTTCTGCCATTGTTACCCTGCACTCTTCATTAGCACATTTTCATCATCAGTGTGGCTGTTTCGTGGATGGATGTGTTTGTCATTGGCTTTGTGCTTCACTTAAATGTTCTTTCGTTTGCCTGATCTAACATGGTAAATGTCACTGGGAATACCACTAAGCTTTCATTTTGAGTTTGATTACTTGTTTAATGGATTGGTATTTTCCCTAAAACAGAAACTGGGGTGAGTAAGTAAAATGAAATCATTCATTGACATTGTCATGTCAGTCTGAAAGCACGCTTTCTATCTGTGGCGTTGCGGTGTTTTTTATACTGCATTTTTTATTTAAGCAACCAAAAGCAAATGCTTTACTGAAGTAATCAAATTTGTATGAACAAAAATCCTTTCCTTTTTTTGTTCTTTGTATGCTAATCAGCTGTCAAAATATGGCACTTACCATTGAAAAGATGAACTGATATATATATATATATATATATGTCAGTGCAAAAGTTGTAAAAGTTTTAAACTGGCAGTAAGTATATTAATTAATCAGTTAATTAAATACTTTTTATATAAAGTTAGAATAAATACTAATTAACATAAATACAATAAAACATATGATGTTTTAAAAAATTTATTAATATGTTGGTTGAATAATGCAGTTAGAACACACTTCTTGACTTCTTGCTGCACTCCAGCCATCACATGGATTTGTTCCATCAGCAGCACACCTGATTGAATTTAATGAAGAATTGATTAAGTAAAGTAGGTATTGGATGTTGATTGTAAATACTGGGTTTGCCTAAGGAGTGCTTTGTAAATGTTTTTTCTCACACACATAAATTAAGAATGTATTGTTTATTTGTTGATTGGTATTTATTCTAATTTTAGTATAGATTTTTTAAAGAAATGCTTACTGCCTCAGATGCCTCCTTTTGCACAGTACTGTATATTCTAGAAAAACCTTCTAGAACTTTCTCTTTCTTCTCCCCTCTCCAGGCTTTACTGCTAGAGAAGGCTGGCATTCTCAACAAGACCAAAGTGGCAGATAATGGGAAGAAACTGAGGTATAGTAAAGCCCCTAAAGTACCACTGCAGAAAAAAAATGCAAAAATATTGCAGGGAAACCCAGCGTTGCAAGGGAATACCTTTTTTGTTTGTTTCCCTTAACTACAGCCCTTTAGGAACTCTGTATTAAGCAGCTTATATTAGCAAACATGGGGAAAAAAAATATATATATCGCTGTTGTCAGAAGAAAACCTTGTATCTCCAAAATGCTAACTTAATAGGAGAAGGAAAAAACATACACTACTTTTAATGTAAGTCAATGGAACCAGATTTTTTTCCAAGTCATTTTGAGCCATTTCTTTTGGTCCATTCATCATGACACTTACCTACAATGTAAAGGGTAACAGGCATTTTCAAATTATGTCAAAAACTGAAAAACGTCAAAAATGGAGATATGATGTTTTTGCCATAATACACACTATAGGACAGGCCTAATGGATAAGTTGTACGAGATTCTTTTTTCATTTTTTGCATTTCATTCCCAGGAAGAATTGGGCACAGTCATGGACCGTGCTTCATGGAGGAATTCTCACTTTCTACAAAGACCCCAAATCCACACCTGGTGGAAATGTGGTAACATCACTCATTGCATTTTTGACTTAAGTTCTGTGCACCGTACATGACTGAGCACTTTAAGATGACCATTGCATTGTGAGCATTTTTGGGGAACGCAGCTCAGTTCTCATGTCATTTGTCACTGGTTGTTACAGACGAAAACCAATCAGATTGTCCCAGAGTACACTGTGGAGCTGAAGGGTGCCGCGGTTTACTGGGCGTCTAAAGAGAAATCCAGCAAGAAGAACGTTCTAGAGGTGCGCTGTGGAAGCTAATGTCTTTTGAAAGTGCAGTGTGCAATTTTCCTACCAAAAGCCATGTGGCTGTTAGTTGATTGATGTTTTACTGTTGTTTTGTATTTTACCTGGATTTTAGTTACTGAATGATTGTTTGCTATCGTGCTACAGTAGGCACTATGAAGGATATTTAACAGTTGGTCTTAGAATTTGTCATTAATTCACAATAAAGCTTCAATTGCCTTCTGAGTGGAGATTCTTCTAACAAGGATTTTGAATCTTGACGTTTTAGTATTACAAGTGTAATGTAGTTTGTTTCTCCTGCAGCTAAAAACTCGCCATGGTTCAGAGTATTTGATGCAATATGACACTGACAGCATCATCCATGACTGGCACAAGATCATCCAGGATACCATCAGGCATCTGGTGAGTGAGCCCCCTCATGTGGCGAATGTGTAGTATTATACTGTCTTTATGGAGGACTGTTATCCTGTATAATACTCTATATGTCCAAAAGTGTCCAGACGCCCCTTCTAATTGTTGAATTTACTTACTTTAATGTGCACCCATTGCTAACACAAGCCTTCAAGTTGCACAATTTATACTCCCTATTAAACCCATGATTTCATAAGAAATGTTGAATGAGCAGGTGTCTACAAACTGTTGGAGATAAAGTGTGCAGTACTGTGCAAATGTCAGAGACCACCTTTCATTTATGTAATTTCCAGTCAAAACAGGTATTAAGTACAAGTTCATTTTTCAAGAGATATCTCTGAGGAGGTTAGATACAAGATAATTCACTTGCATTCACAAGGAAAGAGAAAATCAAAGGAAAATAAGTGAAAAACGGGATTAGACCCACAAGAGTTGGATTAAATCCACCATAAAGTTACTTTTACCCCAACCACTCACCCGATGAGAGAACATATTTTTATTCTGTACAGTACTATGCAAAAATGACCACCTTCATTTATCTAATGTCCAGTCAAAACGACCATTAAGTACAAGTTATTCATTTTTCAGGAGGTGTTTCTGAGATTCCCAAACTAGACTTCATAAAAATTAAGGTACAGAAAAAATGAGACTCCTGTACAAGACCTGGTAGACCACCAAAACTGTCACCATCAGATAAACAGCACTTAAAGCTTTCATCTTTGAGAGAGGAGAAAATAAAGCTCCACTCTTGCTTTAGATCTGAAAAAATCCACAGGTGCTTCTGTCCATTCTTTCACTGTGAAGACAATGTACGCTATGGGTCTGAAAAGATAGACAAAAAAAGATGATTTGCAAAAAAAAAATAAAGAAACTGTTTGTGTTCTCAGATTGATGGACTGGCCAACGCGGAGTCCAGAACTCAACATCATTGAATGTGTTTTGGATTACTTGTGTCATCAGAAGCAAAAAATGCAACCAACTTCTAAGATTGAACTTTGAAAGTGTAGAAAAACTTTCTTTCTTTGAAAAACTGAATGCAAGTCTGCTTAAAAGAATGGAAGCTGCTTCTGCTTTTTTGTTCTTAATAGATGGAGACTGGAAATTAAATACATGAAGGGTGGTTTCTGACTTTTGCACAGTACTGTATATCAGAGCATATTGTTTTTTTTTGGGAGGTGGACATGCATACAGATGTTGGAGCTTCCTGAAAAAAGACAAAGTGTTGATCATTGCATTCTTGAAAATAACTGCTAATTGCATGGTTATAGGATCATGACCATTACTCAGAGGAGGAGGAAGATGAGGTAATGGAAAAATCCCCACAGCCTAATGACAGAGAGAGGAAGAACACTGGTGAGTATGACAGATACATTTGTAGTGTGTAAAACAAACACACAACCAAACTTTCACTTTAATACACAAAAAGTAAAGGAACTGGACACCAAGAGCTTTAATTGTTCTAAATGCAGATTCGCCATTGCAGACGGTTTAAATCTAGGACTGGTCCTAGTCATGATTCTAAGCATTTATTTTTGGCTTATTTTCACCCAGCTGTGAGGCAGAGTTCCACAGCCGCTGCAGACACAGACCAGGGCCGCGTTCGCACAAAGCTGCGCAAGTTCCTCCAGAGACGACCCACACTGCAGTCTGTCAAAGATAAGGGCTACATCAAATGTGAGTATATGTTATATGATGCTTTACCCATATTATGTGCCTTTAGTTATTTTTAACCAATAATGAATAACAGCACAACTGATCAGTTTAATACTATTAGCTTTAATAGTAGAGTTATTACAAGAGTTACTGCAATAGTAGAGTTAGTTTTACTCTAACTTATGTTTACTTTAACTTATGTCTAATTTTCTAGGCCTAATTTATGTCTATTTTTATTTTCTAATTTTATTTCTGCCTAATATATGTAGGTTTATGTGCAATTATATGTCTTGCTACTGTAACACTGCAATTTCCCTTTGGGATCAATAAATATCTATCCATCCATCCATCCATCCATCTTTAAATCTTTAATACCCCAGAGAACTTAAATCTATGGGTTTTTTTTTCTAAGTAGCTAACTTTTTAATAAAGGGCCAATGTGTTTTGCCAGTCGTTTCCTCTCTCAATGTAAAATGGGCCATGCTCATCTTGGTTGTGCATGTAAGCAGTAAACCCACCAATCACAAAGCTGATGTTGGTTGTCCCACCCACACATCTTTAACAAAATAAAGTGTTCCCCACCGATCTCCTCCTCTCTGTGTTCGAGTCGGAGAAGGTTGCCGAGAGAAAGCTAACAAAAAAAACTTTGCAAGCATGAAAGAGCTAGCAAGAGCATCCATTCGTCTGTTCATTCGGTCGGCCAGCCACGCCAGTGTTCCGTGGATGCACATTCAGCAGTAAAGTGAATAAAAACGTCCCCTTCTTTAAGATGTCACCATATAAAAACTGGATGTTTCTAGTGAGCCGTGGTCACAGCATGGTCTACAACACCACCTATACAGCCCTTTTCACTCATTTCTCTCCACTTTGTTTTCACTGTTGTGTTTAGTTCCTCTTCAGTGACGTAGCTGGCTGGGAATGTTGTTCTAAGGGCTGTCTGCTCATCGTGCTCATCAGAATATTCGCACCACACACAGGCAGTTCTGATAAGCGATTTTAAGCCATGTTGTATAATATTTTCATCTTTTTTATTTAAACTTTGCTGGTTTTTAAATTTAAACACTCAGTTTTAATGTCATACAAATAATTTGTATGATATATTTTTTAAAATAATGTAATAATTTTTTCTTTTTGTATTATACACTTGTGTTTTTGTATTTGTGTTACCTGGGACTTTAAAAGTAGTTTACCTGTTCAGCAAGATAGTGCATAACTCTTTTCCTCTCTCTCTGTGTATTCCTCTCATTCTTCTCTTAGACAATGTCTTTGGCTGTCACTTGGACACGCTGTGTCATCGGGAGAACACCAACGTACCCAGATTTGTTGAGAAATGCATAAAGGCCGTGGAGAGAAGAGGTAGGCCGCTGTGGCCTTGCTCTTGAGTTTTCTCCAGTGCTTTTAAATACTTTTGTGCTGACTGTTTGAGTAACAAATCTTAGGATATGATTAGGTAAAATGAATCAGTCGAAGGAAAATGTGAATTGCCTGTGTAAGTAACCATTACTGTTAAACGTGCTCTGCATGCTCAACCCTGAACAGGTTTAAACGTTGATGGAATCTACAGAGTGAGCGGGAACCTGGCAGTCATCCAGAAGCTTAGGCACAAAGCTGATCACGGTAAGCGAGAACACATTTTCATGTGTTGTCAGTATTAACTGACATACGTGCAGCACATGCATGGAATCCATTGTACCAAACACAATGACATTTAATCCATCTGCAAACCATCCATATCATCATGCCTGGTGTCTCTGTGTTTTAGAGGAGGATCTGGATCTGGACGATGGTCAGTGGGAAGAGATACATGTCATCACTGGAGCACTGAAGCTGTTCTTCAGGGAGCTTCCCGAGCCTCTGTTCCCTTACAGCTTCTTTGACAAGTTCATCGCTGCCATTAGTGAGTGAACCACTACAGTAGTGCACTACTTTTATGCAAATACAGACTAGCCTAGATAAAATTAATATGCACACATTAAACATATACAAAGTAATCAGTTTTGCAGCTCAGAAATCCAGCGCCAGGCTACATAATCGTTGATGAAAAGGAGGAGTGCATGAATTCCATTTCTATGTACTAGGCTTTTTAAAATTTAGGCTTATCTTTATTTCCAAATCGTCATAGATCAAATCCATCAGAAGCTGATGTCATTGGTCATGTGGTCAAGGTGTGGTTGTTCACATGTTTACTTCAATGGTGCTTCCAAAACATGTAATCTAATGCAACTTACATGCATACAATACCAGTCAAAAGTTGGGACACTAGATTTGTTTTACATAATCTTAATCATAATCTGGCTTATGCTGTTAAGGTTTATGCTTAAATGATTGTAATGTATTCATATGATAAATCTAAACAGTTAAGCTGATGCCTATTTGTGAATTAGGCATCAGCTTTTTTTCTTATACCTCCCCCCAAATGAGTAGTTGGCAACTAGAGGCTCATCATGAAGCTGCTTGTGCCTGGTAAACGTACAGTATATGGAATGCATAGGCATTTGTATTCCTATGTTTTTTTTTTGCTTTGCAGAAATCACTGACTACAGCCAGAAGGTTTCATACATGCAGGACTTGGTGAGAGCATTGCCTGTGCCCAACCACAACACCATGGAAGTGCTTTTTAAGCACTTACGCAAGTAAGCCAATTCTGCTAAAACTTTTGTATAATGAACTATGAATGTTCTTTGTTACATGGCACCATTACATGCAGAGTTCTTTTCTCAGCCATTCATTACCAAAGCTCTACCAAAGCTCATCTCAAGGTCTTATAAGCCATTTATAGTCATCTCTTTCATTATTAGAACGCTTGGTAACGATGGGTAAAATATATCTTGGTGGTTAATTAGCTCCATCTCACAGTGAAAAACAGAGAAGTCTAACCTTTAAGTGAAGTAAATTTAAACAAAAGTGTCAGTGGACTGGAATGGCCACATAAGAAGCTTCTGGTCATTTAACCATTCTTGTTTAGATTTGGATGTACATTTTAGATCATTGTCCTACTGGAAGGTCCAACTACGTCTTGAATGTTTATTGGCAAAAAGCTCTATTTTTGTCATATCTTACCATGGAAACTGGTTCCAGTCAAAGTTCCATTAGTGTCTATCTAACGAACTCCAGGCGATTACAGTTGGGGTTAGATGAGGTTTCCTTCTGGCACGCTGTCCAACAAGTTTGGCATGGAGGTGGCATCTAATTGTAGTTATGGACTGCAAAATGCTATCATCTTCTGCAAATCTCCAACTGTGATCCTTGGAGAAATTTTTGCCTTTCTAACAGTCCTCTTCACTGTGCATATAAGCAAGATACACTTCACTTCACTATAGTTCCAGTTGTTTTAAACTTATTTTTGTCCTAACAGTGGATTTGGGCATTTTTAGGCATGTAGCTAATTTTCTTAGCCATTGCCTGATGATGAAGGTTAATGGTTTTGTCTCATTTCATTTGTGTGTTCTCTCATCTCCCCCATTTTGATGAATGACTAAGAGACTTGGCAACAGACTTCAGTTACATTTTGGTCATAAGACGTGAATTGGGACATGTAGTAATTGATATTGATATTGTTTAAAAATATATACTTTTTAAAATAAGGATTTCTGTTTCCTTAGACTAAATTTGCTTCAATGAAAGGATACATTTCTCCTATATTTTTTAGACTGAGTTTGCAATAATTAACCTCAAAAAATTTTTTTTACCCATCTTTACCAAAGGTACTAGTAATTATGGAGCTGGTAGCATGTGCCACTTTCCTGACTTCTTCCTCTGTCCTGCAGAGTGATTGAACATGGGGACTCGAACCGTATGTCTGTCCAGAGCATGGCCATAGTGTTTGGCCCCACCCTACTCAGGCCTGAAGAAGAGTCGGGCAACATCACAGTCCACATGGTCTTCCAGAACCAGATAGTGGAGCTCATCCTCAACGAGTTTAATGAAGTTTTCCGTCCCAGATGAGCCACTCAGCCTGAGTGTCATGCCATCAATCCCTGATGCTAAACCCTGACCCCAGGAGTCTGAAACTGTTGACCACTTTTGTGTTTGGGCACTACTAAATGGCCATATTTACAGCTTAATCTAATGGTACACGAGGAGTGCATTTGAGTATGGAGAAATACAGAACTTCGTTCAATCACCGAGATCTAGTTGAGGATGGTTATTCAAGTACCGGCCTTGACCACAATATCACAAATCACTTGTTTGTTGTGTGCTGTGAGCTTCCTGACCTGTCACAAGGTGCAACAAACAAATAATTTTGGTCAACAATAATGCAGGCCAATTTAACATCAAGGATTAATTAATGCTGTATTAATATGATATTTTGCCCATATCATACAGCCCAATAAGTATTAGAGCTAACTTGTATGTTATCATGTAGCATCTCCAACACTTGGTTTTTATTCCAAAGTCAAATAGCTTTTTGGTTTGTACAGCTACACGTCACTGGTCGAATATGAACCAACCAATCACAGATTTGCATTTGTCCATACCGTGCTTATGTTACCAAATTTCAGCAACCTTGCTTTGTGTCCAAGCAGTTTGTGTTTACCTAGTCACAGTGCTGGGGATTGAGAAGCTAGCGGCCCAAATGCAGACACTCAGGCTAGAGACATTAAGCTCCATGGGAGGATTGTGCTAGAGGCTTTGGGAGGGACCCTGGATGTACACCATTGCTTCTTGGTTGGCCTGGATTGGCTGCTCTATGCATTATCAAGTCTATAAAGGACATCCTTCTGGAAACTTTAGTTTGAATTCTGTTCTTGCCTATCAGCTTTGTGTTGAGAGAGAGTATTCTCATCCACTGCTATAAGTGCTGTGAGCAGATCCCAAGAGTCTTCAGTGGTAACAAACTACTGGACTGTTCTCTTAAAAAACAAAATGGTAATTTTTGTGTGGCCTATTAGACACAATCCACTTGCCAAAACATATTGTAACAGTTGAAGTCTATTGCTGTTGTGTTATCTGATCTATCCAAGTAAGTGACTGCTGGTAGGTGACTCAGGGGAGCCATTCTGAACCTGCATTCAGTTATGACATGCTGCGAATAGATAGCATAAATGATGTGAGCTCAAAAATACCATACAGTCATGTGCAAAGTTTGGGTGCCCCTGGTCAATTTGTATTGTTGATTTTCTAAGTGAAAATAAGTTAACACATCCTCTACAGAGAACAGAGTACATTTTAGTGTACAATTACTGTTTATTTGCTGAATTTAACACATTGGGGAAAAAAATCTAAAGTTGCACATGGGCAAAAGTTATGGCATATTTTTATATATTTAATTTGCAGAAAAATGCCACAATTAAGTTTTTCTCTGTACAGGATGTGTTACTTGCAATTCTAATTTGACGGAGGGTATTCAAACTTTTGCATACAACTGTATAAGTAGAGAACATGTAGCTCTGTCCAAACCTGCAGTTGCACTGATCCTCACTGATTGGTCATCTGCAGAGATGTTTGCCATACTTATATTTATATTATGTCAGTATCCAGGCTGTTTTTTGGATCCCAGGTATTTAAGGACCAAATAAGTGCCAATGCGCTGCCTTAGCTCACCAAAAAGCTGTCATAACATGAAAATTACCAACCTTGTCAGTCCATACATATGTGTTTAAATCTGTTCAAAACATGAACATGAAAGACACTGCTTACTACAAGAAGCATTTTAAACATGACAACTATGGAAATAGTCCAAAAAAAGTGGACAATAGTCACAACCCTGTTTAGGGCTTTATGTAAGATACATTACCATTACAGACATTTTACCTGCAGCTGAATATAACACAGAATACTGGTCAAATCGAACATGCTATGAACATTTGTATTACTGTATAAAATGGTTGAATGATGAATAAGTATCCATAGATTTGTACATATCTTGATGTTTATATGAAAGGAGGTTATACATTTCACATATTAAGGCTCTGTAAATAGACAATAGTAAATTCACTTTACAAATAAATATTCTTCAAGTTAATAATTTAATTTTATTGAAGTGTTTACTATGGTTTTATCACTGGTAAGCAGTTCTGATAAGAAATCCTTCACCAGAAATCACTATTTAACACCAAGCAAAAGATGTTAAGTGAAATTCATTGATAATATAAACACAAAAAAAGGTTCAGTGTAGAAAATTTTAGCTAGAACAAAATCATTGCACTCATTCTCAACAACGATGGCTGGAGTTAATAGGTCAGACTTGTTCCCTTGCTGACTGTACTACAAACCGGGACTGTGACAAACACATTGTAACTAAACATTGATGCAGTCGATACATGACCTTTATTACCTCTGTTCAATCTGTTTTACTTTCAATAAATTGAGTTTATTAAACTAATAAGTATCTAATAAACTGATTGTGACAGTGGGGAAGTGGTCTAGCATCGCCAGTGAGGCATGCTCATGCACATCGACGTTAGCTTAGTAGCGGTAATGTTTATGTCACAGCACACAAAGCAATTTTAGACAATTATATGCTTTATGGTAACAGTTTGGGGAAGGCCCGTAACAGTCCCAGCATGATTATGCTTCTGTACACAAAGTGAGCTCCATAACAAAGAAAATTGGTTTGACAAAGTTTGCTGTGGAGGAACTCCAGTGGCCTGCACAGAGCCTGGACCTCAACCTCACTGAATGCCTTTGGGATGATTTGGTACATCAATTGTAAGCCAGGCCTTCTCATCCTACACCAGTGCCTGACCACACAAATGCTGACTGAATGAGTATAAATTCCCAGGGACACACTTAAGTCTTGTGGACAGCTTTCACAGAAGAGTGGAGGCTGTTACAGCCATCGGCCACCAGCTCAATGTTCTTTTTTCACCCTTTCATATCAAGAGTGGAGGGTCTTATGTTCCATTTCAGTGTGCTCACAGTGCACCTTTAACTTTTGAGTGGCAACAGAAAAGAATGATACTGCAACATCAATATGTGCCAAGAGCATTATGCACCCATGCCAGGTCCTCAGTGTGAGCTGTGGTTGTTTGGTGTCCAGGGCCAAAAAAGTTGAGACTAGCCCAGAATGTGGAGTATCCAGTTGCAAAAGAAACTCCTGTGCTGTGACCAGGTTATCACTCCCTAACTTTCACACACATACAGTGTATGTGTAGCATTGTGCCAACTGCACGCCTAAAATATCTTGCCTCAAACCGCTTTGAGTTGTTAAGTAGCCTCAAATGAATAGACTTTTTAATGTGGTTTCTGATACTGTATGACATACTGTTATCTATAAAAATTGACAAAAGGTATAGACAAAATTCAGGCTTCAAGGCTGCCACTACTGTTTCTAGCAATGGTTTGTGGATTCCCTCCTGTCTCTTCTGTGCCTTCTCATTTAACACACCAACTGCAATCAGCCATCATACTCATCCTACTAAAGTTTATTTCTGGATTTTATAATACCCTTATTAAGGCTTCCCTGCTGAAAAAAAAAAACAGTTTAGACCGGATTGGAACTTAGATGGTCTATATATTGTACTGTCTATATTATGGTCTATATATTGTATTGTCTATATTATGTATATGTATTCAGTTTTCTCTTGTTGATATAACTTAACAAATGCATGTCTGTGAAACTGAGTTAGTTGTGCTCTTTCAATGACATTGAGTAGTCAGATTTATTTCATAAGTGTTTGGTCTGTGTAATCTAATGTAAGTGCAAGTTTCCATGTAACTTACTGATGAGTGTTATTCACAGAGGTACAGTAACAACTTCATGAGATGAAACTGAAACCTACAAACTTTGTACACGTTACTTACTCAAGTATCTTAGATGCTACTTAACCCAGTAATTAATGCTCATTACTGCTTTATTAAGCAATAATTGTTTAAGAAGTACAAATCAAGAGTAAATTAAGCATTTTATAGAGCACTTTTATTTGTGTATTATAGATCGTAATTTTCCACACAATATTTGATGCCCTTATGCCCTTTTTATACCTTATTATGCCAATAGCTGCTAATTAACTGGCTACACTTACTACTTTATTAAGCAATAACTAGGATCAATTATCTATTTTCCACTGCACTTTTTTTGTATATTATCCGAAATACACTAGAATCGGGTCTGTATGGAATTAAACTAGCAGTTAAATTAGCAGTTATTGGCTTGGCTGGTTAGTTACTGACTTGGTAAATTAATAGCAATTGACTTGATTAAGCTTCATAGGGGTGTCATAATGGACACCAGTAATATTGTAGATTATAAAATCTAATGCACAAATAAAAGTACTCTGTTAAAATGCTTTAATCACCCTATTTATTGCTTGATTAGAGCACATTAGCAGCTTGGTAATTATTCACTACAGGATAAATAAGGGCATTACAATAGCATTATAATGTCCATAGACATTGATGTGTTATCTAAAACATTTAAAAATCATTAAGAATATTAGCAAAGACCAGGCATAGCTTTGAAGACCCCATGGAAACCATAATGTCATGTGGTGGTCTGTTAATGAAAGTGTATGTCTTGCATCAAGTCCAGTGTAGTGTGATATCTCTCCAGCTCTGTTTCTCGGCATCTTGGTTTATCTGGTTAAGTTTGCTTAGGCTGAACTACACCTTCTCTAAAAATGCCTCTTTTTAATGTCCATGGGCTTACTGTTATCTTTGAAGGAAAGACCCCCATGGTTCACTTCCATGCTGTAATATTTTATTTGTGCCTCCAGCTGGCCTGCAGGTGGCAGTATGTGATCAGACGGTGGAGTTGCTGTGCATGGCAGTGTGTTTGCATGACAGCATGCAAGTATATGTTGATAAGTCTGCAGAACGCAGTGTGCCAGTCTGCACCGCATCATATATGATCCCTGCACCATGCGTCCAGCGCACATGCACACGCACACACCTCACTTGGAAACTTATCAAATACTCCAGCCCTATAAAACCACGTTTCTGTTTGATCACTTCATCATCACACCAGACTTTCCTAGAAATCATACTGCAGCTTTTGCAGTGTTGTACAATGCATCCAGCTGATGTTGTATGAAATGCTGCGAAAACCTCCATTTCTAATCTCTACGCTTGTGCAACACAGGGTCATTACTGCCATTCCCTCATTACCTCTGTCTTCATGCACAGGCAGCATAAAAGACATCTTTACATCTCTTCCCCAGACACTGAGAAATAGACACCTTGTACTTACTGTGGCCCTTTGACTGCAAATGAAATAAATGAAGGGTGGCCTCTGACCTTTACAGACAGTACTGTATAACAATGAATTCTTATTTTCCCTCTAATATTGTGTTTGTAAGATATTTTAGTAACAAAATGCAGTATAGTATTATACAATCCATTTTAAAAACCAATGGTTTTTGTGTTTGTTTGTCTTTCTGGCCCTCGGCCCACTGCAAAACGTGATAGTCGTCCCCTAAGACAAAAAGTTTGGCCAGCCCTGTCCTAGGACCATAATACTAGTTTGTGAAGCTAGCGTGACAAACGTCTGCTTGATGTCACTTTGTAAGAACCTGGCTAATCACATGTTTCCAGAATTAGCTTCAAAGAAAAGTACAGCTCACTGGTTCTATCTCAGACCGCAGAAAGACAGCTGAACTGATCTGAGCTGATCTGAGATCAGTACAAGAGGGCGTTTAGCATTAGCACTCTTCTGGGGGGGTATGCTAGCTTTACGTCTGTGCAGAGAGATAACCAGGCGAGATGGCGAACGGAGGGCCGTCTCTTTTTCTCTAGAAGCTCCTCTTCCACATGACCCACGTCTGACCCAAATGCTGCCCTGTTGTGGACTGTATTTAGTGGTTTTTCCCCTCAGTCGCTTCTTTATTGGAAATGAAGGCGATTCTGCAGAAGTAGTGGGGGTGACGGGCGTAAGATCAGCACGTGCAGAAGCAGAGAGGCCCAGTAGCTTGTGGCCGATCAATGTGTTCACACACTGATAAGAGTTCAGCACACACATAGGATTGCACGCGCACACACATGCGCACACAATGCACGCAGTGCACACACTTCTGTGAACTCTTGGACTGGGATGCACTGCATGGTCTACAGCCACCAGGTTAAGTTAAAGGAATAGGCCAATGTTTTCCTTAAAGATCTCCACCTATTTTCTGAGTAATTTAATCATTGAGAAGTAGGTAAAGTCTTTCATAGTGGTTTAATGTGAAATGCTCAGTTCTAGAGAAACTTACTGAGTCAGAATTGTTCAGTGGTGGTGATAGGAACCAGACGCCTGAAGATTATAACCTCACAAAAAGTTGTTACACAAAATGGTTATGAATACACTGGAGCCTGAAACATTATTATTATTTTGGCAAAAAAAGAGCATTTCTTTTAAAAAAAATGTATTCATAGTAGAGAGGTAGGCCTATACTGTAAGGCAGTGGTGTCCAATCTTATCCACAAAGGGCCAGTGTGGCTGCAGGTTTTCATTCCAAACAGGCAGGAGCACACCTGGTTCCACTTGTTTAATCAATTGCAGGCTTCAAACAGCTGGTCATGTGAGCTCCTGCTTTGTTGGAACGAAAACCTGCAGCCACATTGGCTCTTTATGCATAAGATTAGACACCCCTGCTGCAAGGAATAGCAGTACCCAAAGGAAACCTTTTTTCCTTATTTACCACCATTTTACCATTATCAACAGCACATAATAAACTCTGTTCTACTGGTCATTTTGGGTAGTGAATAATCTAGCTATTATAGTTCTGTAGATATTGTGACCCTTGGTTCCTATCACCACCACTGTAAAGAAATCCACATGTGCAAGTTTCTCTACATTGGGCCATTTGACCAATCTTCATCAATCAAGACATCTCTACTACTGAATTATGTTGAAATTTTGAAAAATCAGTGGAATTCCCCTTTAAAAACACCAGCTGCTCTTGGACATAAATGAAAGCTGCCATGTTAAAGGAACAGTTTGATGTTTTTCCTTTGCTTTTTTTTTCCTGAAAAAAAAAATAAAGTTTTTCAGTAGTTTTTTCAAGCATTTTTCTTTTTTACATTCATGCTACTACAGTAAAACCCATTTTCACAGGGCAGTTTTGAGTTTAAATGGGTCTTGAAGATCACAACTGCATACACAACAGTTCAATAGCGACACATGCTCTTTTTATTATGAAAATTAGAAATCAATAGATAATAGCTAAATTGTAACATATTCAATGAAACTTTAAACATAAAACAATCATTTACCAATTAACTTGATAGCTAATATTCTAGAAATAAAGCTAGAAAGCTTTTAAGATTCTTAAGCTTTTCTAGCTTTATTAGCAATAACAGCAGAAATATGTCAACCCACAACAATGAAAACAGCACAGAGCGAGTTCTTAGATTGCATGCACTCTATTCTTTAACAACTCTAACACAAGACAGAAATGACAGAACAATTACTAGATAGTAATGTTGACAAGTTATTTTTGTACCTTATCTAACTTTACAAACACAAAAAAATCGTTATTTTAAAAACTTGTTTTCAAGAAATTGTCAGATTATTACTTTAAAGCACCTGAGCAGGCAGTCTACACAGTCACAGCTGTAGTCCTCTCCTGCTTAGAGAGATGATATACCAAATATCTAGCTAATATGTGACAGTAGATATGTTTATAAAAGGTTTGGGATTTCAAGCTATAAAAAAAGATCAGGTTTTAGTATAAACCCCTCTACATTCAAGTTTCATGACCTTGATTTTATCACTCCCGAGCCAGTGCATTGTCTCAGATTACAACACAGAAGTTTACTCAGCTCTTTAGAGTAACCTTAGCTAAATAACCCGGTTCCTGTTTATAAGGAAGATATCTCAATATCTCAGAGGCTTTTTCTTTTCAAAAAGAGATTATAATCTTATTTATGTAATCCCATTTGTGCTCATTAGGCTGAAGGGTTTTACAGTTAATCTTATTGTCTGTTTTCATTTATCATTTAGCCACAAGTGATAAAGTATTCTATGAACATCATCTCTGTTAACCACTTAGATTCTGCTTGGGTTTTGCTTTTCTACATCACTGAACTGACAGAACACAGCAGTCAGCAGAACATAAACAATATTATTTCCTTTGATATTTACCTGTGGTACTGTTCAGTCAGAGACCACCCATTTAATTTTCAATCAAGACAGCTAATAAACACATAATAAGTAATAAGTTGTTCATTTTTCAGTGTCAAAAAAGCAGGAAATATATTTAACAGAAAATTATACAGAAGCTTCCACAACTAAATATATATTTTTTGTATTATTGTGTTCTCTCTTTGCCTTTATTACAGCTTTCAATGCACAGGGATATTTTTCCACATTTCCAAAGTTCAGTCTTATTAGTTGATTGTATTTCAATGATCCCACATTCAATGTTTCAGATGTTGAGGTCTGGACTCTGGGGTGGTCAGTCCTTGGCTCTGAGAACACCGGCAGCATATGTGGCTGATTTGCTTCACATCTTTTCAGACCCATAGCGTTGTCTTCTCACAGTGGAAGGATGGACAGAAACACCAGATCTGAAGCAAGAGTGAAGCTTGATTCTCTCCTCTCTCTCAAAAATGAAAGTTTTAGTACTGTTTATCTGATGTGGACAGTTTCGCTGGTCTACCAGGTCTTGTGCAGTTGTTAGGAGTCAGAATTTGTCTATATATTTTAATCACTCTATTTTTAGAAACTCCTCTTTTTTCACTTTTTTTTCTTTAAATTTCTTATGCGAGTGGATTATTTCATTTCGAATCTTCTCAGAAATATATGAAAAATGAATGACTTGTACTAAATAGCTGTTTTGACTGGAAATTACATACATGAGAGGTGGTCCCTGGCATTTTATCTATGTGTTTTCTGATTTACTGCTACATTGAATATCAACACAAAGCCTCAAGCAACATTAATATGCAGAATACAAGTTACATTTCTATGTGGGATCGGTGTAGAGGTGGAGTTGAATTCAGCATTAGCAGTGTCATTCCATACAGGTGGGCCTCTTGTCCATGCTGACCATCATGCAATGCTGCACTCTGTTTTAGTGTAAATACATGACATAGTAAACACCTCACAGGCCATGGAAGGGTCAAGAGGGAGAAGTGAAGGTAAGCACCAGGGTAAAAGCAGACAGCAGAGCGACACAAATGCACATATGCCACAGAGTCAGACGGCCATATACAATCTCACTGTAAAAATAAGTCAGCTCAACTTATTACAGAGCTTTTTAGAGTCAACCCAAACTTCTTAGTTTAGTTTCGGTTCAGGCCACAAATGTCAAAATTCGGTCAAAAACAAGATGCTTTTCATTTCTGACATCTAACTTAAAAGTACTGGTCAGGCTGCCACTCATACTCACAGTCAGTGATGCATCTAGGTCTTAAAAAAAGGCCTACAACAATGTTTTTTTCTCACAAAATTGGTCTCACCTTTTGTAAATCAAAATGTGATCGATTCCACTGTCAGTTCCTAATTATGTTAGTGGTTAAGCTGATATGTTAGGCCTTCAGTTCAGCTGCTGAAGTCCTAACCAATGAGAGAGCTTACTTGACTGCATCTACCTAGATATCGCAGAGCAAGAAAAACCTAAATGAACGGTTTTGTGTTAGGTGTTTCAAGAACGTAACCTTTTTGCTTGCAACCAAAACTTAACAATGAAATAAGTATTACTGCAATACTTGAAGAGTTTAAATACAAGAAGCATGATGAATTCATTATTTTTTTTAATTTCATACAAATCAATAGGCCATCTCCAAAGGCCTTGAGGGTTCCCCACAGTTCTGAATCTGGGAAAGGTAAACAATATAGGATTTGTTTTTAACTCACTTTCCTTACTAACTGGGACTCTATTCATCACACAGTGCCACCAGGCATTTCCTCCTTTTGGGCTCTCAGTGATGGATGACTGTTACATTACTGGGGTTTGAATTCATCTCGTGATGTTGGGGTTGAATACTTGCTCAGCTGCTCCACAGTGACATAGCACTTTTTGTTAACTGAACAAGAATTATTTTAAGTATTATTGGCTACCCTAAACTAATTTTGAGTTCATTGAACATCAAATAATAAATTAATAGAACAACAAACTACACTCTTAAAAATTATGGTTCTCCAAGGGTTCTTTAAGTAAAGAAAAATGTTCTATATAGAACCTTGAACACTCAAAGAACCCTTTGCATGATTAAAGAGTTTGCATCATGAAAGGGTTCTTCAGAATGTGTTGTAGATGGTTCTGTATAGAACCTTTTTGAATAGGGTTGTATATAGCACCTAAAAGGGTTCTTGTACTGTTACGATGTTAAGATTGCAATAATAGAAGAACACTTTTGGGTGCTATGTAGAACCCTTTCCGACAAGGTTCTGTATAGAACCATCTACAGCACATTCTCCATCAACCCTTTCATAATGCAAATAACCCTTTAATCATGCAAAGGGTCTTTGAGTATTCATGGTTCTATATAGAACCCTTGTCTTTAGTAAAGAAAAACCTGGATAAACCATCTTTTTTAAGAGTGCAGGTTAACTTTTTCAGTTAAAATGGCTTTATTTTCTCAGTGTATTGAAGGAACATTCATCTCAACATCAGGACACTATAAGTTCAAATGTCAGCAATGTCAGTCATCCACAACTGACAGCCTAAGAGGAGGAAATACCTGGTGGCACCATGTGATGGAAAGTCCTAGCTAGTGGGGAACATACAGTATATACAACCTTTCTTAGATGCAGTACTAAAAATGTAAGCGTTACGAAAACTTTTGACTACATTAAGACATTTGAGGTGGGTCAACTTTAGTGTCCTCAGTTTAGTTGAGTTAACCTAAAAAAGGCTGTGTAATGCATAGACTTATAATTTTAAGTTGAGCTGGCTTTTCATTTATAGCAGGTTGGCAGGCAGTGCATGCAAGAAACTGTAATCTGTGAGACCCAACAGTTCAGAGCAGTGTGGTCTGTAATGTTGTGTTTGAGTGGCCTGTAAGCTCCTGCTCCTCCCCACATTGTCCTACTGAAATGGATAACTCCAAGGCCACTAATCAGATGGCAGTCTCATGCCAAAGCCCATAATAGAAAGTGTGTTTATCTGTCTGTGTGTGTGAACTATGTGAACACATGGTTGGTTCAAAATAGCTTCACGCTTGCAAGACAAATTCCACTGATTTTTCACATTTTCTGCGTTATTGAAGTTTAAAAAGTTAAGATGTAAACAATGCCACAGAGCGGTTTGATGTGAAAAGCTCCATTCTAGAGAAACTTGCTGTCAGAATTGACCCAGATGTTTGAAGCATTTAATGTTTCTAAAAGCGACTTCATAGAACGTTATTGCATGAAGTGATTATGAATATGCTGCCTGGTGTCAGAGACTTTTTTCTTTGAAAAAAATTCCAATTTTCTCCCCAATTTAGTCAGATCAAATTCCACCCACCACTTAGGACTACCCCGTTCACACGATACTGCCAGTGCTAGGAGGGCGAAGGCAAACACAAGCTTCCTCTGAGTCATGTGAAGTGCCACTGCATCTTTTCAAACTGCCACTAATGCCACATCACTGGACGGCAGCATGTGCTTGGATGAGAACACTAACCGCCAGTTCTTTTACGTCAGCTAACAGACACCTATGCTGGCTAGCACTGCGCAGAGAGGGCCGTCCTACCCACCCAGAGACAGAGAGGCCAGTCATGCTCTCTTGGACTCCCCGGCCATGGCTGTGATATCACCAGGGATCGAACCCTTTATCTCCCATCGCTTATATGGTTGCACCACTCAGGAGCTTGAGACATTGTTTTATGACAGTTCTGAAATAAGCCTTCAGCTTTAAACGTATGTTAAACCACATTTAAGGTGGAGAGGTACATGCATGGTGTTGCAAGGTGAATAGTCCATGAAGAAAACGTGTTTTTTTTTAGACTTTGCACTATTTTACCATCATCATTACATACAAAACCTCACATGTAGGTTCATAAGTGGTAAAATGTTTATATTTGTATTTTAGACATCATGATTTCTGGTTCCCATTGCCACCACTATAAAGAAATCTGTGTTGGTATGTTTCTCTACAGTGCACCATTTCACATCAAACCACTCTGAACGCCTTTGTTTACATCTCAGTGATTTAACTATGCAGACATTTTGAAAAAACAGTTGAATTCCGGTTTAATTCTGGGAAAACTACAATGCCATGCCAATCAAAATACAAAAAAACATGTACTTGTGAAGATCTCCTTGCAATAATCCTTTGTTTCTTAGCTAAATAAACCAAATATACCACTATTATACTTTGTCTCTCCAATGAACTGTTTTGACCTACAGACTGTTTCGTTTATCTGTGTCCTCGACTGAGGTCTAGTGTTTGTGAACAGAATCTGGCTTTAGGCCAGAGCTTAGAGCAACGTGACGTAGAGACAGCTTCATTAAGCTTTAAATCAGGTAGTCCAGCTCTGTTGAACACATATCAGCTGTTAGGTTATTAATAAGGCATTAGTAACGTGATCATCTGTTTGGTGGGTGACTGCCTTTAATTTCAAGCGGTAATGTATATGAGAGAGGTGTTACTGAGAGAAAGATGCAGATTTTCAGGTAAATAATTGAGGATTGTTTACTTGCAGTGTTCATTTAAATCTGTCTGGACACACATAAGGAGGCAAGCCCTTATTTGTGTTCAAGGCCCTTATACTGAAGATACTGACACTGTACAGTCATTGTACATACCTCATCAGTTAGCTTCCATCAACGCTACGCAGTCAGCCCTGTCATCTGTTTATCTCATTCTTATTCATAATACAGCTCATCCATGGTAACCAATTTCAAATGGATACGTCACAACCTACAACATGACATATTCATTAATTACAATGAAATCTTAAATAGGTATTCTAATGCAAACATTTAAGTGTGGCTTGAAAGCATCAGCATGTTTGAGACATAATAAGTAAACAAGCAAAATTCATTTCATACTCATTGGAAGTAAATTTCACATAAAAGGAACATGTCTGAGACTTTTTCTTTGACAAAAATACCAATTTTCTCCCCAGTTTTGTCATATCAAATTCCACCCACCACTTAGGACTCCCACAGTTACACCATACTGTTTGGTTGATGTACTCATAGACCACCCTGCTGAAAAAAGGTCATTAGAACCATTAGGAAAACATAAAATACCATTACTGGCTATTGGACATCACCAGGATCCAACCACTTTTAATGGTTTCTATGATTTTTTCAGCAGGGACACTGCCCATAAGATTCTAGTAACGCCACTGTGCCTTTTTATGCTATTGCAGATTATATTGTGTGAATCATGGCCATTAGATTAGTAATTCATCGGTAGCCTGTAGTTCAGTCCACCACTCCTCATTCATCTCATGTTTTGCCTTCAGAAGTCCTCAAGTAGTCTGACAGATATCAGGTTGGCGGTGAAACCTGCAGCAAAGTGAGTCTCCAGGAGGAGGCTAGCTCGCCGCTGCTGTAGCTTGTTGTCCATCCCACAGCACACACTATTGGAGGTGCCTCGGTCAGGGGGAGGTGTGCACACACACACTCAAGCACACACTCTCTCAGCGCTGTCAGTCTCATGAAAGCCACACTGAAGGCACGAATTAACGGAGAATCCGCTGAAGAAATAAAATAATGTTACTGCTCGCTGCTCAACGACTGTTTAAACTGGAAAGTAAACTGGAGTAACTGGCTTTCTCGAATGGTAAGAGGACACTTTTTTCTCTTTTCGAGTGTAAATGCCATGTCAGTGCTAGCTGCTTACTGCTGACAGAAGAGAAGACGCTCATTACCGTTTCCACACCTGGTGCGTTTTGGTCGTGGCATATTGTTCTTTACTTTTCCCTCAGAAATGATAATATGAAAGTCTGAGTAAACTACTTATAGGTGGAATTGCTGTCGTTCACGTTTTTTCGCACTTTCCTGAATTTTAGTCGGGAAATGTTGCTCTTCGTGGTTACATTTCCCTCAGAAATGATCATTTCTATGTCATCTGAAGTATAGTTTTTGTAGTTTATAGAAGGAAATTGTACAGTTTTTCGCAAATTAGCACTAGGCTAAACCGTTTCTGCTGGTTTGATAGACAAGGACATAGCCTGAATCCCTCTTCAATCCATGACTCAAACGAAGTAAGCATATTTACGCTTTTTTATTATTAAAGTAAGTACTTTTTTTGGTTTTCACTGTATTTTTCCCCCTTTCACAGGTATTTACAACCAAAATGGTGAGTTTTCCGCGCTGAGTTGCCTTTCATGCAAGCTGTGAATATGGACTAGCTTGAGCGGTGTCTTGTACCTACGCGCAGTCTGTGGTGCAAAGCGGATCTCCCAGCAATATGTCCCAGGCTCAGGTGGACCTGGCCGGCCTCGGCTTCCCCCCGTTCCCTCCGACCCGGGACACAACTGACTCTTTAAACTCTTTCTTCCCCGCTCGCCTGCCGCCCAGGCGGCGGAGACACTCGGCTAGTTCGCGCAGAAGCAGCGGCTACCGGCGGAGCAAAGCCGCCGTCGAGAGCACAGCAGCCGGCCAGCTCAGCAAAACGCTCTCGTGGTCCGCCGACAACATCTTCTGCGAGGAAAAGAAGGAGCGCGAGCCGCTCACGAGCTCCAGTTCCACCTCGAATTCGAATTCGAATTCAACTTCGACCTCGACCTCGACCTCGAATTCAAACTCTAACTCGAATTCGAACTCCAACTCCAACTCAAATCTGAATTTGAATTCAAACTCTAATTCGAATTCGAACTCTAGGGATTCCCAGTCTCGCGATGCAAGCGCGAGGGCGCCGGAGGACGGCAGCACGGACTCTGAGGAGGGCAGGAGGAGCAGCAGGAGGAAGGAGGAGGCGTGTGAGAGCGAGAGGGAGCGCGAGAAGGAGGATGAGGTGGAGACCAAGGCGGTGGCTACATCACCGGACGGCCGCTTCCTCAAGTTCAATGTGGAGATCGGACGCGGCTCGTTCAAGACCGTGTACAAGGGCCTGGACACGGAGACCACGGTGGAGGTGGCGTGGTGTGAGCTACAGGTAAGAAGAGGTCAGGGAGTCTAAGCGCTCTGACGAAGTGAACAGCTGACCACTACACACAGGCTACAGGCACTGGCCGCTTCACCATAAAGCCCTGCCTTTTAGATCTGCCTTGCTGTTGTCAGTGGTCGGGATGGATGTTCCTGTGGACCACTCTAAAGAACACTCAAGGAGCTTTTTGCATGATTAAAGGGGTCTTTGCATCGTGAAAGAGTTCTTCATTAAGATTGATGGAGAATGTACTGGAGATGGTTCTATATAGCACCAAAAAGGGTTCTTCTAGTGTTACAAGCCTGACATCGCAACCATAGTAGAACCCTTAAAAAGGTGCTATATGGAACCATCTGCAGCACATTCTCCATTAATCTGAAGAACCCTTTCATAATGCAAAGAATCTTTTAAATATGCAAAGAGTTCTCTGAGTGTTCATGGTTCTATATAGAACTTTACTAAAGAACGCTTGAAAAAACATTTTTTAAGTGTGTAGAATAGAACTATATAAGAAAATGATGAGACCTTACACTTTTCTTGTGGGAACATTATTCAGCCAAGGTTGATTTAGACACTATAGAGGTAATCCTTATATGAGACAATATTTTGATCAAAGTGAGATTTATTTGCCAGGAGCCAAATTTGAGAAACTTGAGAAACGGGAGAAAAAGACTTAAGTCTCACTCTGATTCCACACAGGACTTAACCATCTGTAAGCATTGCGCTGTCATTGCTGTGCTGAGAATGGTCCATCATCTAAAACATATCTGATCGGAATCTGGCCTGTGATGAATGGGGTTGACAGTGGTCACCCTGCTCCTAGAGATGCTCCTTCCTACAGAGTTCAGCCTCAACCCTTATCCACCCCACCTAATCCTAATCCATCTAATAACTTCATTTGTGTTGGAGATGAAACCTGCTTCTATTGGAGGAGGCCTGGTGATCATAGAGGTAGAGGTTGGCTTTTAAGTTGTGCACGACGAAAGATGAGCCACAGAATTGTACACCTATATATAGGCCTAGTAGACCTATCAGGTAGGGCGGACTTCATAAAATGTCAAGTTGATGGAAGAAAATGGAAGGATTACAGCTTTCTAATAAGGTCAGTGGTGAGTGTAGAGCCCAGTTTTTCAGTCTTGTAGTCCACTTTCATGTTTGATCTAACACATTTAATTCTAGTCTTTTAAATTGCTCCGCCAGGCCTTGTTTGCCTGTATTTAAGGCTGTGAGTTTGGGTAACTACTGCAGGGTCATCATAATTCATTGCAGTTTTTCCCAGGGTCAGTCCTGTGGTCCATCTTTGCTTCACAGGTATGCTTGAGTCACATCATCAGCTAATGATCAAGTCCTTCATGAGCTGATTCATAGTGTATTACAGCAGGAAAGACACTCATAAGCACTCATCAATGTGCTATATTTATCAGCAGAATTAAGCTTTTATGGAAGTGACTAAGAAGTAGATTCCCCACAAATATGCTTAAGCATATGCATCAAAATTGTGCTTTATTACATGTAAGTAAATGCAAGTAGTTACTACCCACTTCACATCACCTTTGTCTCAGGTGCTTGTACTATATATAATAAAGTTTTGTTTTCTCGTGAATAGGAACAGTGCTGCAACAGCTATGCCTGCAGCCGAAAGCACCTAGAAAGTAGACAGCTGAAAGCTAATAGTTTTGTTCTCATAGATCTTGTCATGCATCTGCTTCAGGGTTAGATATGATTAAGACAGCTTACGAAGGATCTTTTAGGGTGATGAAAGACAAGTTAAAAGTTGTGTAATCTAATGCTCGTGCTGATGTTGACAAGTCAGATATTTATGCTAATGATAATGGGCCTTTTTTACCAATATCTTCTTAAGTTTGAGAAAGGTCCTAAGAAAAACCTCACATCAGATTCATGACGTGTTCTTAAACCACAGAATTGTTCGCACCTTTGTGCTGTTGAGTGTGTGTAAATTCTGTTCTTACTTAAGAACAAACCCCAAATAACAAAACATTGGTGAATGTCAGAATCTTCAGAAAAACTGCTTAAGTGTGTTTTAAGAAGAAATTTCTTCTTAAGAAGGTTGGCGAATGACGCCCAAACCTGCTAAAACCTAGAAACCACAGAAGAGTTGTGCATGCAGTGGAGACCTTCGCGGCAGATGTGTGTGAAAGCTAAAATGAGTAACAGTTGCTTCTGACATATGGCGGTGATAACACTGGAATTTCTAATCAGAGGGAACGGTTATGAGCAAGCATGTAGCATGTAGGTCATTGCTGGTTTGCTGGCTTTGAGCAAAAGAAGAAGAATCGTCAGGTGTTAGTTAGGCTGCCATTGATGTAGTGGCAATATGATAAGGCGGTGGGTCTGCATGTATGTTTATTACAGTGATGTGAATGAATATTATGTTGAGTGTCTGACTACGCACTTGACTCAGCTAATGACAGATAGCTGATGAGTTGAATCTGATGTGTGAGCAAGGAAAAAGGAATACTGGAAAAAGTACTTAGTATATGATGGAGAGTGAAATACCTAAAAGCATTCCAGTGCTAAGATGATTTTGCTATCTTAGTAAGAGTGTCATTTGAGTGCTCTCTCCCTCTGAAACCTGGCATGATCTGTGACTGGGCACTGACCAAGAGAAGAAAAGGGCAGTAATCCATATATTCTACTCACATTGGCAGTGCGTAGAGAAGGAGAGAGGTTGATCTTTTTTCCCTGCCGGTTTCCAAAGCCATAAAACACTCCTGTCCTGCCTTTCCCTCAGGTTTTATAGCTGTGCTGTAGTTAAAGCTGTGGGGGAAAAAAGAACTCATGGTTTGATAAACAAGAGATTTGTATGGCATATGAGTGTAATCACTTGCTGGTAGTTCCTAAGAGCAATGGCTGCTCAGTGGGTGCACGTAAGTAAATATATGCTGTATGTTTCTTGGTAGTACAGTTTATAATGTGCTTGAATCTCAGCTAAAGTAAGTAGATTGGTTCTCAATTCCAATGGGGAGGGTGGGGTGGCTAAAGTGTACATTGAGCTTTCCCTGCATTAAAAGCCTGATTCAGCTGATATAGTATTTGATGGTTACTTGATGAACTGATGTCTTAAGGTTCCATCACACTGGTGTTTTCTCATAGGTTTAGCATGCAAAACTTTGATTGATGTCAACGATAGTGTAATTTTACATGCAAATTAGCACCATTGGCCATTAGTAATAGCAGTAGCATTGGCTGTGTTGACCATAGAAGGAGTGGTCCTTCATATAGCGCCTCTGAACATCTGACTGGATTAGATGGTAAAACTTCACTTTTGTTAGCTTTTTGCTAACTGCATCAAATTGGAGGATTTTTTTTTGTCCCCAGTCTTTCAGTCCAGGCTTGGTCACCCTATTTTGCAACGACACTCAAACTGCAACTTTCCAGTCTGACTAAAACAAAGTGCTATGCAGGAGCTCCGTAGCACTCCACAGTACAAGACTGAAAAACACTGATCTAGAACACCAAAAAATGAGAGAGAGAACTCATTGCAGTCTGAGTGCCACACAGTTGGGGTTAGGCTTTGCTCTTGTATTGTACAACAGCCCTCTATGTTAAAAACTAAGCTGTACTTTTGGCTTCTGAACTGTATGTGGAAAAAGGCAGAAAATAAACCGTTTTGATCATGGCACAATATCCCTGGCATAATCCTCATAGACTTGACCTTTAGCTTGAGCCACGGGTCAGGCGAACATACAGGCTTACAGCTCCCATTCTCAGACCTGATCCCTGCTAATCTCTGTTTTCATTGACGACGGGCCTTGCCAACCATCAGGTGGTTATGCTCTTTAGCCAAAGCCTGGGGTTGGAATGCCTTTCTACACTCTACGTGATGGTTCTTCATGGGCTCTTTAGTAAAGAAAATGGTTCTATATAGAACCTTGAACATTCAGAGAACACTTTACATGATTAAAGGGTTCTTTACACTTTGAAAGTGTTCTTCAGATTGATGGAGAATATGCTGTAGATGGTTCTGACAACAGAAGAATAAAAAAGGGTTCTTCTGTTGTTACAGGCTTGACATTGAAACAATAGAACAACCATTTTTGGTAATACATAGACCCCTTTTCAAAAAGGTTTAATCATGCAAAGGGTTCTTTGAGTCTATATAGAACCATATTCTTTAGTAAAGAACCCTTGAAGAACCATTTTAAGTGTGCACTATTGGCCAAAGATGGAGATATGACATAGATATTTAGGGATGGGGCACAGGGCAGAGCTTGCATTTTTAGCCCAGCCATTATGTAGCGTTAATTTGTAAACACAAGCATAGTGATATTGCATATTGTTACTTTCAGAACAAAAGCTTGTCCATTTTTGATTTTTACATAATCTGAAAATGCCAGCTGTACTTTACATTATGTCAAAATTTCATGATGAGCAGACCAATAGAAATGCTCCAAAATAACTAGATAGAACATACTTTTTTGGAGATGGATCTTTTTCATTCCGACAGTGACGATACTGTCAATTCATAGTTCCGATATATGTTGCAGTAAGAAAACAGAGCTGATAAAAAGCAACATTTGCTCCATGTTCTGTCATAAATATGTTTTTGACATGATTTAGTTATTTATCTTGTGTTTGTTGTCCGGCAACACGCTCAGAGTTTGAATTTAAAACATGAAAGTGGATCATTTAGACAATTTAAATAGAGGACTGGTGACAACAAACATGTAGCAACATGTAAGCAGGGATGCGGGAAGGTGTTTTAAGCCTGGTGTTCTGAAATTTTAAGCAGCGTATAGGTGACATGAGCTTTGTCGTCATGCAAAATTATTTGCCCTCCATTTGAATGTTTCTGATACTTTGCATCAAACAGAATGTGTATGCTGCACTAAAATGAGGCGAGAGATGACAAAGTATGCATATAACTGACACACAAGACTGCACGTCCTTTCCCTGCTCTCTCATTCTGGACAAACCTTTAACTTTACTAAGTTAAAATTAAAAAACAGGCGACCAATCAGATTGTTTATATGTGGTGCAGTAACCGT